AGTTACAAGAGGCTAGGAAGTAACCGGAGGAGCTAGAGAGAGAAGTTAGTTAAAGTATATAAAATTACAGCTATGTAAGAGGAATAAGTTCTCACATTCTAGATAGCACTGTAGGCAATAGTTAATAATTATTATTATTATTATTATTTTTTTTTTTTTTTTTTTTGAGACAGAGTCTCGCTTTGTTGCCCGGGCTAGAGTGAGTGCCGTGGCGTCAGCCTAGCTCACAGCAACCTCAAACTCCTGGGCTCAAGCAATCCTTCTGCCTCAGCCTCCCGAGTAGCTGGGACTACAGGCATGCGCCACCATGCCCGGCTCATTTTTTCTATATATATTAGTTGGCCAATTAATTTCTTTGTATTTTTATAGTAGAGACAGGGTCTTGCTCTTGCTCAGGCTGGTTTTGAACTCCTGACCTTGAGCAATCCGCCCGCCTCGGCCTCCCAGAGTGCTAGGATTACAGGCGTGAGCCACCACGCCCGGCCAGTTAATAATTATTTATTATACATTTTCAAATAGCTAGAAGAGAGGATATTGAATGGTCTTAACACAAAGAAATGATAAATGTTTGAGGTGACAGATATGCAAATTACCCTGATTTGATCAGTATACATTGTATGTATCAAAACATCGCTACGTACACTATATGTATAATTATTATTGTCAATTTAAAGCATTTAAAAATATTTAAAATACAAAGGAGTTTGGACAATTCTGTAAAAAAAAAAAAAAAGAAGAATTGGGTGCATGGGGCTGAGAGGGAAGGAAGGGTTTTACCTCATACAAGAGGCATCCTGTCTTTACCTGAGCAAAGCCACAAAAGATATCTTATCTTGTTATGCTTGGATTTGTACCAAGGACCCAGGCAGGATCTATAAGCCTAACACAAAGTATCCTGTGTAGTCACTGTAACTTTGAAGGAGGATATTGTCATTCTCCTCTAGTATCACATTAATTTTCCCCTACTTTAAAATTCTTATTTGATAACCTAAAAACCTTAGAAATGTGAGATAGCTTTTCCTTAACCCCCTTCCCTATCATGACCTGTACAGAACAGAAAAGGAAAGAGCATTGGACAGGGAGCCAGAAAGAGCAGGCTCTCGTCCTGACTTTGCTTCCTATTAGTCTAGAGAGGTTACTGTAAGCTCTTTGAGTCTTAGTCTCTTCACCTCTATATAGGTGATAACATTCCCTGCATCAGTGCAATTCTGAAAAGTATAATATAGTATGTACACATAGGCTGACATTGTTATATTAGTAGTAGTAATTACTATTTTAAGTTGCATTTCTAAATATAAAAGATAAAGTATATAGGATAGTGGTGCTCAGGCTTGGGAAGAATATAGGGAAGTGAGGTAAGAAAGACTAAGGAATGGAAAAATAAACACATCGGTAATTATAAGAGGAAAAAAAGGACAAAGTTGCAATCTTGAAAGGTCAAAACACACTTTTAAATTATTTTTCTAATTATATCACATTCTAAATACCGATGTAGTAGACATCTGTTTTTTATCTTTTTCTTTTTCCTGTCTTGTAACCTGCCCCATTCTGGCAACAGCAACCTTTCCTTTGAATAGTTGTTCCCAAACTCCATAGTTTTCTGGTGGATTGCCGATTATGTTATTGTATTCACTGGGCTAGTGGGGGGTATGCCACGTGACCAAAGCGACGTCAGTCAGCATCCTTTCTTGAAATTATTATTATTATTATTTTTTTTTTTTTTTTGAGACAGAGTCTCGATTTGTTGCCCAGGCTAGAGTGAGTGCCGTGGCGTCAGCCTAGCTCACAGCAACCTCAAACTCCTGGGCTCAAGCGATCCTCCTGCCTCAGCCTCCCAAGTAGCTGGGACTACAGGCATGCGCCACCATGCCCGGCTAATTTTTTATATATATATCAGTTGGCCAATTAGTTTCTTTCTATTTATAGTAGAGACGGGGTCTCGCTCTTGCTCAGGCTGGTTTTGAACTCCTGACCTTGAGCAATCCGCCCGCCTCGGCCTCCCAGAGAGCTAGGATTACAGGCGTGAGCCACTGCGCCCAGCCTCTTGAAATTATTTATATAGATCCTGAAGGGGAGAAATCTCTTTTCTTGGGAGTTCTAAATGGGATTTAAAAAAAAAATGTTGGCACTCTCACCTGTACAATAAACAACTACATCCTTTCAACCTGCCTTTCCTGCATAGAGGTACTAATGATTGGGCACTAAGATCATCTTTTGAGAGACCTGAATCCAACATTTCCCATATGTTCACATTATTCTTCTAAGCATCATGTCTATTTAGTAGATAATAGAGTTTCCAAGCACTTAAGAAAATGTGTTAAAAATGCTCTGGAATTTTTTGAAAAACACAGTAAAATGCAGTAAAAGAAAATCTCACACACATCCCACCCCCTTTTTATTTTGTTTGTTTATTTATTTTTGTTGCCCGTGCTGTGGTGTCAGCCTAGCTCACAGCCACCTCAAACTCCTGGGCTCAAGCAATCCTGCTGCCTCAGCCTCCTGAGTAGCGGCCACCGTGCCCGGCTAATTTTTTCTAAATATATTTTTAGTTGTCCAGCTAATTTCTTTCTATTTTTTATAGTAGAGACTGGGTCTTACTCTTGCTCAGAGCTGTTTTGAACTCCTGAGTTCAAAAGATCCTCTCACCTCGGCCCTCCAGAGTGCTAGGATTATAGGCGTTAGCCACCGCGCCTGGCTCCCCACCCCTTTTTTTAAAAAAACTACACCTTTACTTTTTTTTTCAGTCAACTGTGGCATCTCCAGGTACCTAAAATACTTAATTTGATATCATCAAATATCTAGTTAGTGTTCAAATGTTACAAATTGTCTTAAATTTTTTGCTTGAACCTTTAGTTTGCTTGAATCAAGATCCAAACAATGGAGCCACATTTTTATTATTAAGCACATTGGCCGGTCATACTTTACCTCTCTCAAAATTGATACGTCCTTGTCAGAGCAACACATTCCCAAGAGCAAAAGAATTTAGAGATTAATTCAAGGTATCTTTATGTGCTTTACAAATATCAGATAGGTTCAGGTAATTAAATTATGGGTACATTTGTATAAGTAATAATTTAATAATAAGTAATAAGTAATAATCAACCTTAGACCCAAAAGGGAGCAGTAGCAAAGACACATATTTATGTTAATTTTGCACCCTTTGGGGTTTCCTCACCTTATCTGTTTTGACTGTTGGTGGGAAACAAAAAGAGACTTACCCTTTGGTTTGACAATATCCAATGAAGTACTGAACATTTATAATCAGGCAAATGCATTAGCATATTTATTAAAATAGAAATAAACACACTTATAGATATTTGTAACTTTATTTACCACTAACTTCCTCATCTCTGTCCTATTATGCCCTCAATTGTTCTCAACTACAGTGAAGGACTGAGAGAAAATACCATCCCATCTAGGTATAAATGAATATATTTATTTGGCTTCAACTCAAATATGAAAGAATTAAGACCTTATTGCAGTCCCTATAACTTTATTCTCCCAAAGGGAAGGTGCCAACACTGAGGGCTTAGAGACCTTTAGCCGTTGGTAATCTCCACCCATCTCATCAAATAAAACAACAACGACCCAAGTGCTCGCCAAATAAGCTCAGCAATGTAACAAGTTCCTAGGTAACCCTCCCTCCTTCATCCCACCAATATCCTTAAGGCCCTCCTGATTAGGAGTTCTGGGGCTAACACTGACCCTAACCACAGTCACCTAACCTTCACCATGTTTCATTGATTCAGATTCCCATTATTCCTATCTCAGGGGGACTACTGAGTCAAAAACCAAGCACGTGTTGCTTTGTTTCTGTCGTGCATTTTATCATTAAGGGCCTGGAAAGTTAAAAACAAAACCAGACCCAAGTCCGCCTCCGGTCCCACCCGCCCGGTGCATCATCCCTGCGCAGCCCGGGCCGGCGCACTCGGCCGCGCCTGCGCCCCGCCGGCCGAGTCAGCGCCGGGGAAGCGCCCAGGTGCTGGTCCGGGACCAAAACTCATGATCTTCTGGCTCGGGTTCCGCGAACTGAGTCATTCTGGCGCTGGGAACACTCCGTGACTCAGCAGGCCCGAAAAGGAGGATGTCAGAATCCAGATAATTTCGAGTCTTTTAAAGGCAAGCTGGAGCGCACGAGCGCCGCAGTGGACGCGCTCCGCCGCGGGGCTGCGCACCCGGGGAAGTGTCACTCCGTTCCCAGCCTTTCGCTTCCGTCCCCGCCCGGCGGGGCGACTGGCTGCACTTTAATTAAGCGGCAGGAACTCGCTCCGCAGAGTTCACTGTGATGCTGCAACCGGGCCCTGCCTTCTCCAGGGGCCCGGTCGGCCCCTCGACGCCCCGGGCCTCCTCCGAGGGCTGGAGGTGGGCCCCTCGGGTCCCGCCCCGGGCAGCGGCACCTGGCCGCGCGCGCCCTCCTGCCGCCGCCCACCTGGCCCGGGCCCGACCCTGGGCGACCGCACTGGCCCGGCGTCGCCCCTTTAAGACCCTCCGTGCCCCTCCCCCACCCCGGAGTCTTCCGGGGACGCGGAGCCCAGGACCCCGCGCACGGTGCCGGGGCGCCGCGACCTCCCCTTCCCTCCCGGCATGCACCGCCCCGCCGCCCCTGCTCCGCTCCCCGCTCCCGCCCACCTCGCGCGCCCCCCCCCTCGCGCTCCCCCTCCCCGCCCACTCGCGCGCCCTCCCCGCCGGTCGCGCGCCGCGGGCCTGAGCGCGAGCCGCGCCCCCGCCCCCTGTCGCCCCGCCCGCTGTCGCCCCCGCCGGCCCTGTGCCCGCCGCCCCTGCCCCCGCCTCGAGTCGCCGGGCGGGCGCGCAGTCCGTGGGCGCGGAGGGGGCGCGCAGCTGCGGGGCCGCGGGCGCTGCCGAGCCGAGGCTGGGGCTGCGCGGTCTCCTGCCCAGACCCCACCCCGCCGACCCCACCCACGCCTCCTTCCTCGGGGGCGCGCGCTCGGGCACGCGCTCGGAAGTCGGGGGTCGGCGCGGAGCGCGGGCCGCGTCGGGGCGGGTGCGGGCGGCGCGAGGGCGGCGCGGGGCGGTGGCCAGTGAGCCGGCGGTTCTCGCTAGGGGCGCCCACCGCCAGTCTCTCGGCGCGAGCCGCCGCCGCCAGCGCCCGCCCGAGAGCCGGCCCGGCCCCAGCACAGCCCGCGGAGCGGCCTCCGGGACGCCGCGAGGCGAGAGGAGCGCGCCGGCGCCTGGCCTTCGCCGCGGCCCAGCGCGCGGGATGAGGGGCAGCCAGCGGGCCGCGCCGGCCCTGCGGCCGCGGGGGCGGCTGTGGCCCGTGCTGGTCGTGCTGGCGGCCGCCGCGGCGCGCTGCGCCCGGGCAGCCATGGACGAGTGCGCGGACGAGGGCGGGCGGCCGCAGCGCTGCATGCCCGAGTTCGTCAACGCCGCCTTCAACGTGACCGTGGTGGCCACCAACACGTGTGGGACTCCGCCTGAGGAGTACTGCGTGCAGACCGGGGTGACCGGGGTCACCAAGTCCTGTCACCTGTGCGACGCCGGGCAGCCCCACCTGCAGCACGGGGCTGCTTTCCTGACCGACTACAACAACCAGGCCGACACCACCTGGTGGCAAAGCCAGACCATGCTGGCCGGGGTGCAGTACCCCAACTCCATCAACCTCACGCTGCACCTGGGTAAGCGGTGACAGCCCTGTCCCCTGCTACTGCTCGCCCACGGCTCAGCTCCGGACCGTCTCCATCCCCTGGTCCAACCTGAGGGGCCCAGACAGCCACAGGCTGCTTTCTGCTCCCCAGCGTGGGCCACACAGAAATTCCTTTCCCCAACTTTTAAAATCTAGTTTTTAACATCCGTGAGGGCCAAGATGCTCTGCTGGCATCTCTCTTTGCTTTCTTATTCTTTCTAACTTAACGGGATTCTCGCTCCCTGATTATTCGCCATTTCTGCTGTTTAGGATTTTGGTTTCTTTTTCCTGAAGCGTTAAATCAGAAAGTCCCATCCTTATTTTTCTCTTTCTTAGCGGGGCCGTCACAACGCATTCTTGGATCTGGAGCAAGAAGGTCCACCTTAAACACTTTTGCCTTTAAAATGTTTAGAAGTCTCTCTCCAGGGTTTAGGGTGATTGTTGTTTGCTCTGTTGTGTTAATGGAGTTTGTGGGGAGCAAATGCTTCCACCGCCTGTATTGCCTAGGTGTAATTAAAATAGAAATTCACTTTTAAATTTATTGTTCTTTAGAGCTGTTCAGCTTTAATTAAGAGCCACATAGCTATTTCACTGCTATTCCACAGAGAAAACAAAAGGAAGTGCACTCACTGTAATTGCTGGGCAGAGTTTTGTCCCTGTGTAAAACGCTTCTACTGTCTCCCCTTTTGCTTTAATTCAAAGTAAGTGTAGAAACATGCATATATGATCCTTTAGAAATCAGGAAAGGGATGTATAAAAACCTTAATGGCAGGGCAGTGGATGAGGATGGACGCGTGAATCCGAAAGTATGCAATAATGTTTGATCCAGGTAAGTTCTTCTTCATCACTGAGATATATAAGTAAGCAGATTTCATTATTGTGTTTAGCAGACTAACCTGTGTGTGAGAAACTGACATTTGATTTGTACCACTTCACTCCCCGTTGCATTGGGAGACTTGCTTTTACCAGTAGCTAGCTGGTACTAATGAACTTCCAGAGTGAACAGACCGCCCCAAGCCATTCTTATGTCAAAGCAGGGTAGTTCTATGAGGCTAATAACATTATTTGGGGATGTTTGAAAGGAACATTTTGTGGGCAAGTGATTCTTTTGATCATGATTTTGTATTTTTCATTCCATTGCTCTCTGGTACACTAAACTTCATGTAAGTATCAAGATGCCAGAGAAGGAATATGACTCACAAAAAGTGCTTTGAAAAGTGAAATTACTGTGTGTAGAGTAAGTTTTAGAAAAGCCGTGGTATTTAGCACCTTTGTAGTGAATTCCATTTTATTTGTAGATAAGTCATTAGGCAGATGAAACTTTTTGAAAATGAGTTCATAAAACTGTGAGGCTCCTGTTTTTCAGAGATTGAAGTAGAAAAGTATACTGAGTTCAGTTTTTTAAAGATATTGGAAATATATAGAAGTAATAGTGTCTTAAATGGGTAGGTGCCTTTCTAAAGACATTGCAAGAGACAAAGAGTTTCCTGAGATCTATGGGGAATCTCTTAAACTATTTTCTTCTAAGTGTTATATTTTTTAAGTTGGCAGAATTATTTTTAAAATTTGTATCCAGGTATTTTTTTTTTTTATTTTGACTTGTTAAAGTTTCAGTGTTCAAGTTTGAATACGCTTGATGTCTTATTTTCAACTTTATTTTTAAATTTTAAAATGTTCAAAGAAAAGGCATTGTCTGATGCCTCAGAGTGCCTAGATTCAATTGAAAATTTCTAAACATCAATCTCTTATTTAGATAAAGGTGGAGCTGCCAATCTTGGCTCTCAGTTTTCTGTTGTAGGCACTATGTAGCAAAAGGTTATTTCTGGTGATTGCAGAGATAGATTACTCAGTGATTACTTCTCTGTTGCAAAGCTAATATAGTAGAGTAAGTCAATATCAGTCAAGTTAGGTTGCCTACTACCGGGACGCAGATATATTAACTTTGGGTCTTGTTGATTAAAAGGTCAAAAGAGATCTCAGAGTTCACTTTGTTAGGACTCTAACATGACTCTTTTACTCTAAAAATATCATATTGCTTAGACTTGTTTTTGCTGAAAAATTTCTCAGTTTTTGGTAATATTCTTGCTAAGTGAAGTTTATACAACTATGGGTTTAAAACTCGTAAGTTAAATTATTTTCATAGAAGTATTGTGATTAACTGTAAAAGTATGCACTTTAAACTTTTTAGTTAGACAGTTTATAAAAACTTGACTAGAATTTATTATACTTGTTCTTGGATCAGAAATGATGTCCTGGAGGAAATTGTGTGTGGTGGAGGAAAGAGGGAGGGATTTGTATGTGGTGGGGTTGATGGTTCTTTTTCTTACTCTCTGCCTTCCCGTTTTGTTAATGACAAGGATATATCTATACATGTGTGTTATGATCGACAATTTATGACAAGTAGGCAAAGCTTTATGTGTTACCCTGTGAACTCCAGTTACTGCATGGGCTGTGGCTAACTATTTCCCATGAATTCAAGTACCATGACTGTTTTGTGCATCTATTAAATCTCCCATCCAGTTCAAATTTCACATACCCTTAAACAAGTGATGCATATTGTGCTTTGCCCTTACAGAGCATGTGAAACTGGAAATGAGCAGTGTGAAAGAACTGGGTGTAGCCACCACTTTTCTAGCCTGCCTTTTGATGTTGAACTCAACACGGTAAACTTTAAAATAAGCGAAGTCAGATCATACTTAAGTAGTTACAAGAAACATACATATTTTGGCACTGATCATAAGTCACTCTTTAAAATTATAAGAATGAAACATGATATGGTATATTTAAACATTAAGGGTAATGACAAGTGAGGCTCTTTATCTCTAGCTGCTAGTAGGCTCCATGCCCTAGAGACCACTATTATCAATTTCTTATACAACTCTTCAGAAGTTTTCATGCATATACATATAAAATTATTTAATCATTTTAACTGGTACTTTTTGGGGGAGCTGAGGCATATTTTAACAGATGGCAAGTACAAATTAGATCATTGTACTAGTATCATCACTTGCTGTACAAAAGCCAGGAAAATTAGCATTACTTCTGAAAGCAGCCAAGTCTTAAGCACCATATACAGTAATCCAGGGTGCTGGGTGTCATGCATCCTCCTCAGATACAAAGAGTTAAAGTTGCTGTGGGAACCAGAACTGTACTTTCTGTCTGTTGTGGCGAGAAATCTCAGCCAGGCACTCTTCTCCAAAAAGAAGTCCTATTTTGCCTTTGATTTCTGGATCTTCTCTCTTAACTTTGATATGGATTATTTAATTGCTGTTAAAAAGTTTGGCTTTTATGTCTTATAATAATAAGTCATAATAAGTTTTATCAGTATCTTTGGGGTAGTTGAAAGTAAGATTGTTGTTGAGGATTTGCCTTTTATGAAACAGCCCCTTTAATTAATTTGATAGTCATTGTGGATGGAAACTTGGCAGAGAGGGTTTTCATCTTGGAGAAAGGTAGCCTTCCCTCTTTCTAAAAACAATTAGATTAATGAAAAGAGTGCTTATAACACCAACTCAATCAAAGTTTATGGAACGCCTAAAATTAACACCGAGACCAGATTAGTTTCTAAGCTCCTCATAAACTTTAGGAATGAATAGTGATTAAATGAATCTTTTAAATCTATATCTGAATATTCTTTTTATTTGTGTAAATCAGAATAATTGATATATTAGGATATTGCCTTTTATTCTGTTTGGTCTTTTAATGAGTATGTATTTAATGTGGAACAAATAGTTTTTTCCCCCAGGAAAACCTTTGTATGGTAGGTTCTGACTATGTCAGGGAATAGCTCACTCTGGTGACTTCACTGTGGTATTTGTGCACCCTGAGGGGACACTATTATAGTTTGTCTCACAAAGGCCTGATTTACATTTTGCAGGTTTCAACTTGAGAAGTTAGGGAGCTCTTCTTTAATGGCCAGGAGTTGCTGCACACAGTTTTATAAAGTTGCTTTTGGCTGTTTTCCTTTTCTACAGTTCACTGCTTTTTCTGCAAATTCCTCCTCTATTCTAAGGGCATTTCAGAAAAGAATTTACACTGTAGGGAAGAAGTTGGCTATCAGGCATCCTCCTTACCGCATCAATTTGTCATTGGTCACATTTGTGGGAAGAATAAAGTTTGACTATTTCAATTCTAAATAATCTTAAGAACTTGGGTTTGCCTTTTTCTACGCACACCTTCCCTCACGCATACATTCTCCTGTTTCTGCCACATATTGCAAAAACATTTTTAAAATACCTATGAAATACATACGACTGTACCTGATAATAAGAAGATGTAGAAGATTGAGGGTCCTGTCTTCAAAAGCTTATACTCTTTTTTTTTTTTCTTTTTTTTTATAACCTGAGAATTCTGTTTTGACTAGATAAAAGCTTATACTCTATTAGATGGAACTTACACACTCAGTTGTAATGGCAATACAATAATAAATCAAGGGTGAATGTATAATGTTTTATAGTTCATAAAGCCCCCAGTTGATCACCAATTAGATTTTTCACATCTCAGTGATGGCAAAGGTTGTGATGTGCCAAAAGTCACGGTGGAGGTAGGTTGTTTTTTTTTTGAGACAGAGTCTCACTTTGTTGCCCAGGCTAGAGTGAGTGCAGTGGCGTCAGCCTAGCTCACAGCAACCTCAAACTCCTGGGCTCAAGCAGTCCTACTGCCTCAGCCTCCTGAGTAGCTGGGACTACAGGCATGCACCACCAATCCCGGCTAATGTTTTTCTATATATATTAGTTGGCTAATTAATTTCTTTCTATTTATAGTAGAGACGGGGTCTTGCTCTTGCTCAGGCTGGTTTCGAACTCCTGACCTTGAGCAGTCTGCCGGCCTAGGCCTTCCAGAGTGCTGGAATTACAGGCGTGAGCCACCATACCCGGCCTGCTTCTAGTTTTTCTAACAAATCTCTCAGAATGTCTAATTTATTCCCAACCAACTGTAAAGTAAAATTTCATGTACACACTGAATCAGAGATACCAGGCTCCTTTGGTTTTC